GGCTCACGCTTGTGAAAGCTGGAGCAAGCTTCCCTCCCTCTCGGCCTCCATTTCCTCGTCTGTAAACTGAGGTCTCTGTACATGAGTGCTTCTCTAGCAGACAGTGTTGGAATAGCAGATTGCCTCCATACTATAGGCCTGTAGAATTGAAACCCAGCGAGGGATTTGTGTGGCCTTCTGGGTGAGCGGCTTCTAGGAGGTTCTTGTATAACCAATGAGTACGTTTCTTTGGCTGCTGGACCTTGACAGTTGGCAAAGCAGTTGGTATTTTCACTTGTTTTTAGGTAAGGAGTTAATGGAGTGGATTAGCGAGGCGGGTTTAGGGCGTCTGGGAAGTTAGGGGAGACTGTATTTGTTTCCCTTTAGTTTGCTCAGTTTTTTAAAAAGATTTATTTATTATGTATATAGTGTTCTGCATACATGCATGCCAGAAGAGGGCACCAAATCTCATTACAGAAGGTTGCCAGCCACCATGTGGTTGCTAGGAATTGAACTCAGGACCTCTGGAAGAGCAGCCAGTGCTCTTAACCTCTGAGCCATCTCTCCAGCACCTCCCACTCATTCTTTGCGGCAGAAATCACTATTATCTCTTCTGTGCATAGGTCCTTGATCTCCTCATAAAGCACACTTCAGACTCAGGGGTTGGGGCAGAGGTGCAGCTCAGCTGGCAGAGTACTTGCCTAGCACCTAGGGAACACTGTGTTTGATCCTATACACTGAACAGACTAGGTGTGGTGGCACAGACCTATAATCCCAGCAGTGAAGAGTGGAGACAGGAGAATCCATAGGTCATCCTGAGCTTCAACCTCAAGGTTAGCCTGAATCCTGTCTCAGAACAAATGCACAAACCCACTGCTCCAGACCAAGAGATACTAAGCAGCAGAGGCCACATCTGAGCCTCCATTTTTTTTATTTATTTATTTTTTTACAAATATACAAAGTCAGAAGTTCTAGCGAAGGGCTTGTTGGCCTCTGCCTTTTTTGTTTTTTATTTTATTGAGCTCTACATTTTTCTCTGCTCCCCTCCCTGCCTCTCCCCTTCCCTTCAACCCTCTCCCATGGTCCCCATGCTCCCAATTTACTCAGGAGATCTTGTCTTTTTCTACTTCCCATGTAGATTAGATCCATGTAAGTCTCTCTTAGTGTCCTCATTGTTGTCTGAGTTCTCTGGGATTGTGGTTTGTAGGCTGCTTTTCTTTGCTTAATGTTTAAAAGCCACTTATGCCCAGCACTCGGGAGGCAGAGGCAGGCAGATCTCTGTGAGTTCGAGACCAGCCTGGTCTACAAGAGCTAGTTCCAGGACAGGCTCCAAAACCACAGAGAAACCCTGTCTCGAAAAACCAAAAAAAAAAAAAAAAGCCACTTATGAGTGAGTACATGTGATAATTGTCTTTCTGTGTCTGGGTTACCTCACCTCAATATGATGTTTGCTAGGTCCATCCATTTGCCTGCAAATTTCACGATGTCATTATTTTTTCTTCTGTATAGTACTCTATTGCGTAAATGTACATTTTCCTTATCCATTCTTCAGTCAAGGGACATTTAGGTTGTTTCCAGGTTCTGGCTATGACAAACAATGCTGCTATGAACATAGTTGAGCACATGTCCTTGTGGCACGATTGAGCATCCTTTGGATATATACCCAAAAGTGGTATTACTGGGTCTTGAGGAAGGTTGTTTCCTAATTTTCTGAGAAATCACCACTCTGACATCCAAGGGGGCTGTACCAGCTTGCATTACCACCAGCAATGCAGAAGTATTCCCTTTTCCCCACAATCTCTCCAGCATAAGTTCTTAACAGTGTTTTTGATCTTGGCATTCTTACAGGTGTTAGATAAAATCTCAAAGTTGTTTTGATTTGCATTTCTTTGGTGACTAAAGATGATGAGCTTTTCTTAAATGTCTTTCAGCCATTTTAGATTTTTCTGTTGAGAGTTCTCTTTTTAGGTCTGTACTCCATTTTTTTTTTTTTTTGGTTTTTTTGAGACAGGGTTTCACTGTGGTTTTGGAGCCTGTCCTGGAACTAGCTCTTGTAGACCAGGCTGGTCTCGAACTCACAGAGATCCGCCTGCCTCTGCCTCCCAAGTGCTGGGATTAAAGGCGTGCGCCACCACCGCCCGGCTTGTACTCCATTTTTTATTGGATTATGTGATCTTTTGGTGTCCAATTTCTTGAGTTCTTTATATATTTTGGAGATCAGCTCTCTGTCCTATGTGGGGTTGGTGAAGATCTTTTCCCATTCTGTAGGCTGTCGTTTTGTCTTGTTGACAGTGTCCTTTGTTTTACAGAAGCTTTTCAGTTTCAGGAGGTCCCATTCATTAATTGTTTCTCTCAGTGTCTGTGCTACTGGAGTTCTATTTAGGAAGTGGTCTCCTGTGGTGGCCTTTGCTTTTAATCCCTGCTCTTGGGAGGCAAAGTAATGATATCGTGAGCTGGAGGCTAGCCTGATGTATATGGCGAACTCCAGGCCAGTTGGGAGTACACAGTCAGACTCTGTCTCAAAATACAAAGCAAGGAAGCTAGAGCAATGTCTCAGTGGTTAAGAGCAATGGCTGTTCTTCCAGAGGACCCTAGTTCAATTCTCAGCACTGACATAGTGGCTCACAACCATTTGTAATTCCAGCTCTAGGGGTCTGAGCTTCTGGCTTCTGTTGGCACCAGGCATGCAAGTGGTACACAGACATGTATGAAGACAAAACACTCATATACATAAAAATAAAACAGACTGAAAAATTCTAAAACAAAACAGACAACAACAGAAATAAAGTCAGGAGCTCAAGAGTCTGGGGTGTTTGTTTGTTAGCGGCAAGTGCTTGCTAGGCTGTATAAAGCCCTAGGTCAGACCGCCTCTTGGTTTCTCTTCTGAAAGTCATTTCTGTAAATCTGTTTGCAATTATTGTACTTGCCACTCAAGGATTAAAAGACTTAATTTGCCCAAATTCAACGCAGAGAGCCAAATACAGACAGAGAGATTTCTTTTGTAAGTTTGCGGTCCGGAGGAACTGAGCGCGCAAACGAGGAAAATAGAAAGGATAGGAGCTGGTGGGAGGGGAGGCAGCTGTGTAAGTCTCCGGACACCAAGGAAGCCAGAGTCCAACGAAGGCTACAGAGAGAAAGTGATCAAGCTGAACTGGAAAACAGATATGCTCTCAAGACCACCGCAGTGGCGTTCCTCGGCCTCCGCGGGTGACGCACCTTCCTCCGCCTCCTCTAGTAGTATCCTTTTCTCAGCTCGCCCCCGGCTTCTCTCTAATGCCAAGGTTTCTCCAAATGGGAGGCTGGGTCTTGGAGTCCCCTGTCTAAGGTTGGGGAAAGGAACCTCTACTCTACTGTGAGGAGGCTTCGGTCTCGGGGAGAACCCCCGGAGATCCTGGATGGAGGGTGAAGTATCTGGAGCCTGGAATAGGGAAAGGGTCTTGTAGACCAAGTGGAGTTCCTCAACCAGTCAGGAGGGGATAGGGAGTCCTTCAGAGGGAATGGAGGGAAGGACTTCATTGGTTCCAGGGGCTGGGCTCACGAAGGGGCGCGGGCTCCCAAAAACCTCTTGGCAGCTAGGCTAAGCCGCAGGAGGCGGAGCCTCGGAGTAAGGCGGGGTCCGGGGGCGGGGTCCGGGGGCGGGGCGTGAGGCAGGGGTGGAGCTTGGAGGTTTGTGTGCTCAACCCTCCCTCCTCCGGGCCCCGCGTGTCCCCGTGACGAGGCTGCACCGAGCAGCCGCGGGCCGAGTCCATCCCGCCGCAGCAGTCCCGGGGTGAGGCAAGGGTGAGGTGGGTGGGGGCGAGCAGCGCACGAGAGCCCTGAGCGCCGCCAGGTGAGGTCGGAGAGGTGGAGGAACGGGGAGGCGGGGGCTGTGCCGGGAGTGTGCGGGGGGCGTGTTTGCGTATCTGGTGTCGGTGAGGTTTGGGGAGCGGGTCTGAGGGCTAGCGCCTGTGGCTGTTAGCTCGTGGGCGCGTCCCTGCGGTAGCAGGTCTGGGTCTGCTGCGCCCGTCTGGGCACACTGCCCGCGGTGCTAGGGGTGTGCGGGACTGTGGTGTGTGTGTGTGTGTGTGTGTGTGTGCGCGCGCGCGCGCGCGTGTTTGCGAGGGACCATCGGGTTGTGTATCTGCGTATGCGCTGGGCCGTCATTGTGCCTGTCCCGAGCGCGGGGTGCGGGCCTGCCTCAGCGCAGACCGTGCTGCCTTGGGGTTGTTAAATAGGCAGCCTGCGGGGGACCCGCTCTGCTGCAGGGGGAACCCGATTGAAGAGCGACGCCCCCACAGGCCTCTGGAGACCAGAGCGGCCTGAGGACCGCAGACAGACACCTGAGGGAGGAAAGGAAAGAGGGAGGGACGGACGGAGGGAGGGACGGAGGGAGCGAGGGAGGTGGTGCTGCGCACCCGGGAAGGATCTGGAGGCCTATCTGTAGTGCCAGACCAAGATGGGGAGACTGAGTGAGGTGGATGACAAGAGACAGGCAAGCGGATAGAGGAAGGCAGGTTGATAGGGGAGAATCGAGTGTGGGAAGAGAAAAGGCAGAAAAGGACAGTGCTGGGAGGACAGAGAGTCATTGGGAACGGACTGACCGACAGAGGCCTAGACTTGCAAAGGGGCAGAAAGATTAACATGAACACATAGAGCCAAGAACCGGTCAGAGGGTAATAACTGAGGTCTTGGGGTTAAGAGCTTAAGCCAGGAACTAAGTCTGAGAGGTAAGGTCCCTTGAGTCCTGGCTGCTTGTCTTCCAAGCATATTCCATCCAAAGTTGGTGTATTCCACTGGCCCCATCAAATATCCTGACCCTCTGATTTCGCCGTTCTTTCTTGGCCTTTCTCATCAGTCTCCCTCCTTGGTATCCCAGCAATGTCATTGTTTAGGGGAGACAGAGTAGTTATAGTAACAAGTGTTGAAGGGCCACTCTTGCCTTGGCCTTGCAGCTAGTCCGAACTTGAGAGGAGCTGGGGTGGGGCGCTGCAGAGTTCTTTTCTCCTCTCCCACTCTGCTCAGAATGGTGCTGGAAGGAAACCCTGACGTGGGATCCCCTCGAACCTTGGACCTCCAGCACCCAGGGAACAAGGGCTCTTGCATCCTCTCTTCTCCTGGTGAAGACGCACTGCCAGGCGAGGAACCCATCAAGTATGGTGAACTCATCGTCCTGGGGTGAGCCTCCCTAGTCCGGGAGTGATGGGCCTTGGGTAACCCCTTCCTTGGGTCAACCAAAACAACAACGGGTACCAGCCGCCCTCCCCAGGACTCTTGGTTCTTTGTTTCTTGTTACCTTTCCAGATGAAAGATAAAATTGACCAAACCCTTACCCATTCATAATTAATGGTCTTTTTGCTTCTCATAAAATTCCTGAGACAGCCGGGCGGTGGTGGCGCACACCTTTAATCCCAGCACTCGGGAGGCAGAGGCAGGCGGACCTCTGTGAGTTCGAGACCAGCCTGGTCTACAAGAGCTAGTTCCAGGACAGGCTCCAAAACCACAGAGAAACCCTGTCTCGAAAAACCACACACACAAAAAAAAAAAAATTCCTGAGACAATTTCTTTTTTTTTTTTAAATATTTTATTTATTTATTTATTTATTTATTTATTATGTATACAATATTCTGTCTGTGTATATGCCTGCAGGCCGGAAGAGGGCACCAGATCTCTTTACAGATGGTTGTGAGCCACCATGTGGTTGCCGGGAATTGAACTCAGGACCTTTAGAAGAGCAGGCAATGCTCTTAACCACTGAGCCATCTCTCCAGCCCCCTGAGACAATTTCTTAACTGCTTACCAGAGTTTCTAATTAGATGAGAAAGGGTCTGTACTGTGTGTAGGTGTGGAGAAAGAACTCTGGTGCTGAACAAAACTCTTTCGTCCCAATCCTACTTCTGCAAGGTGCCAAACTTTCCCCATTCTGAAGATAGGGTTGACACTAAGTCATACCCCCAAAGGTTATCTGAAGGAAGGGACTTTTGTAAAGGACATAGACCAAGTGTCTGGGAGGCAGGCGGTGCTAAACCTTTTCCTGGGCATTATTTCATTTCAATCTTTACAAAGATGCTGTGAGGAAGGAAGTGAGGAAACCGAGGCTCAGAGAGGGGAAGTGACTGGCCCAAGGGCACACAGCTGGTAAGTGGCAGGGCTGGGATTTGAACCCAGGTCTTCCTAACTGTAGATCTAGCACACTGTCAGTAAGTTGCAGCTCACTCTTGTGCTACAGATGAGAAAGTAGAGGCTATAAAAGAGGAATTTATGGGCCCTGATGGCTGGACAACCCCCAACCCCATCCTGTCCTTACCTACACTTCTCATGAAACTCTTCCCCCAGACACAGATGCTTCTTTGACCTTGTTTCTGCCCTGAAGACACAACTTGATCGGCTTCATGATGGAGAGTAACAATACAAAGCAGTGGCTGTCGTCTGGTGACTTGTATGTGCCACCTCACCTTCCTTCAAATAACAACGCTCGCTCAGTCATATCAAGAGCTTGCTATAACCATACCAAACTCTGTCAAGCATTTTACAGTGTTCATCTTGTTTGCTTCTCAGAATCTGCCTTCTGAGTAGGTCCTGACAAATGAACTCCATTTCAGAGAGGTATGTCAGGAGTGGAGGAGCCAGGATGTGTGTATGCCAGGTTCCTGTGTGTCTCAGCCTGCATCCCAATCTGTCCCCCTCTAGCCCTGCCTCTGCCCATTCAGAAGTGTTCAGAAAGGTAAAAGAGATGCTCCTCACCAGGGTGCTCACTTCTGAAAAGCAGCTGCTTTGTGTCCCGACAAAAGGAAGGGCTGTGTTTCTATCTGTGCAAGGCCAGGGATGGAGGAGACTGCAGACTCAGAGGAGGGGCCTTGTTGACAGCTCTCTGTCCTGAGCAGCTCAGGGAAGCCTCACTTAAGCTGTGTGTCAGAGCTACGGTAGAACACGTGGAAGTCACACATGGAGTCAGGTGGAGTGACACTCACCTCTAATCCCAGCACTCGGGAGGTAGAGGTAGGGAGGCCAACCTGGGTTACATGAGACCTTGTCCCCAAATTAACAAAAAGAAGAAAGAGGGAATGAAGGAGAGAAGGGGAGGAGAGAGAAAAGAAGCTGTGAGATACTGGAGGAACCTTCCATCTGGCAAGGCAGAATCTCTGGATGGGTCTAGAGAATATAGATTTTCACAGACACACTAAATTCTAATTGAGGGGCTGGAGAGATGGCTCAGCGGTTAAGAGCACTGACTGCTCTTCCAGAGGACCCGGGTTCGATTCCCAGCACCCACATGGCAGCTCACAACTGTCTGAAAATGCAGTTCCATGAGATCTGACACCTTCACACCAACGAACATAATAAAGTTAAATATATAAAAAGTTTAAATTCTAATTGATCCTTGTATTTGGCATTTTTTCCCTCTTGAGACAGGGTCTCACATAGCTCAGGCTGAACTCCATCTGTTTCCCTACGTAGCTGAAATGACCTTGAGCTCCTGATCTTCATTCTTTGAAGTTCTGAGATTCCAGGCATCCGCCACCAGAGTGCATTTATGTGGTGCTAGGAATTGAACCCAGAACATTGTATATGCTAGACAAGTCTCCACCTACTGAGCTTTATCCCCAGCCCTGTATTTGGCAACTACTTATTCCCTTCTCCAAGGTTTTCTATGACTCCCCACTACTTACAGGAAACATTCTTAGCTCGGCATTCATATTACCACACTATACTTTACCACCGGGTCTCTAAAGCCTGTCCTCACTATACAGCCTGCCAGTCTTAGGGCCTTGGCTTAGAGTCCTCTAGATTGAAGGACTTTGGCAAGTCTAGGTGGAATATGACTGCAATCTGGCTTCTTTTCTTTTTTTCCCCCCTCCTGGGCCTTGACTTGTCTAATTTATAAACTAGGAAGAAAGACACTTCTCTGGCAGGACACTTCACACATTCCATTAGGTAATGAAAAACACGAAGGACCAGGAACGGAGGCAGCAGCCATGGCAGCAGTCAAGCCAATGAGTCACCTCCTCTTTGCTTCTCATGGCCATCCCCCTGAGTAAAAGCTGGAAAGGTGTGGAAGCCAGACATAATGGAGATTGTGGAGATGACGGAGGGGTGGCATTAGAAGCTGGTTTCTTCCCTGCCTGGTCATTTGTGGTAGTTGCTTGACGAATGACCCTCTGATGCAGGTCTTTCCAGCCTTCGGGGCCCGGGGTTTGCTCCCAGAATCTCAGCCCTGGGTTCTTATCCCAGCTCCTGCCACTGGGGCTTGAGTGTGCTTGACTTGAGCCTGGGACATGGCAGGTGGTTCCTCCACTGAGGCACAAACATGACTGTGATACAACACCTCTACGATCCTAGCATCTGCTGTCACAGCTGAGGCATCCAGGGGACACTTGGCTCATTGCAGGAGGGACCCCACCGCCTGCCCCTCAGTGCAGCCATTTGCTGTTCTGGGCTCTTGTAGCTTTGGATAGTTCTAGCATTTGTTTATCACCGTAGGGTCTGCTCTGAGCTGGCAATTTCCTCCAGGTCCTCTAGAGGCTCACTCTCTTCTTTGTCTCCTCCCACTGTCCCTCCCCTCACATCCACAGGTACAATGGGTGTCTGGCAAATGGGGACAAGGGCCGCCGCCGAAGCCGCCTGGCACTGAGCCGCCGGCCACATGCCAATGGAGTGAAGCCAGATGTCATGCACCACATCTCCACACCACTCGTCTCCAAGGCAAGCTGCTTATCCCAGTGGAATGGGTGCTGTCCTGTCCTGTGTGCCCTGGGCTACCCAGGCCCAGGTCTTCAGCCTTCCTAGACCTACTGCCCATGGAGCAGGGGAGCCCACCATGTCATTCCTCACTGCCTATTGGCTCAGCAAAGAAATAGTTATGATGGGGCTGGAGAGATGATGGCTCAGTAGGGTAAGAGGGCTTGCTATGCAAGCATGAAGATTTGAGTTTGGTTCCCCAGCACTCATGAACTAAAAACACACGTGCCTGCAACCCTAACACTGTTGAGGGCAAAGACAGGAGGATTGCTAGGCTTGCTGACCATCATCCCAACTAAAAAACACAGGCTCGGGGCTGGAGAGATGGCTCAGAGGTTAAGAGCACTGCCTGCTCTTCCAAAGGTCCTGAGTTCAATTCCCAGCAACCACATGGTGGCTCACAACCATCTGTAATGTGGTCTGGTGCCCTCTTCTGGCCTGCAGACATATACACAGACAGAATATTATATAAATAATAAATATTTTTAAAAAACACAGGCTCCAGGTTCAGCGAGAGACACAAATCAGAGTGATAAGAGGACACCCAATGGCTTTTAGGGGCACATGACCTGTGCACACACGTGCATACCACAGACACACCCCAAAATGGTGCTAATAGACATCCTCTGTGGCGTGCCCACTCTTTAACAGCTTGCACAGTGTTTTCTTAACTGCCTTCCCCATTCATTGGTTGGCAATTTTACTCATTTAAAATTGTAAAATGCATTTGTGTGTATAGATGTTTTTGCCCGCGGGAGTGTCTGTGCACCATGAGCATGCAGTGCCTGCGGAGGTCAGAAGAAGGTGCTGGATACCTGGGGACTGGAGTTACAAACCCTGTGAGCTGCCATATGGGTGCTAGGAATCAAACCTGGACCCACTGCAAGAGCAGCAAGTACTCTTAATCACTGGGCCATCTCTCCAGTACCTTTCACCATTCTTTAGAGGTAGCTAAGGCTCCATGAGGGGGATGTGTTGTTCACACAATGTATTAGTCGGGGTTCCCTAGAAAAGCTGAACTCATAGAATGAAACTCTACCTACCTACCTACCTACCAACCTACCTACCTATCCATCTATGAATAAATATATGGGGTTATTTATTAAAATGGCTTACAGACTATGGTCCAGCTAGACCATAGTCCAACAATGGCTGTCCACCAATGGAAGGCCAAGAATCCAGTAGTTGTTCAGTCTACGTGGCTGGATGTCTCAGCTGTCTTCAATGTACTCTGGAATCCTGAAGAAGTAGGCTCGAATGCCATTGACGGAATGGACTTGCAGTGAGGGGAGCGAGCAGGCCAAGAGTGGGAGCTTTCTTCCTTATCCTTTACATGGGCTGCCAGCTGGTGTGGCCCAGATTAAAGGTGGCCCTTCCTGCCTGAAAAAAATCTTGACTAAAGGTTTATCTTCCCACCTCAGATATCTGGATTAGAAGTGGGTCTTCTCACTTCGATAATTTAATTAAGTAAGAATCCCTCACAGGTGTGCCCAGTTGTTTGGGTTTTAGTTAATTTCAGATATAGTCAAGTTGACAACCAAGAACAGCCATCCACATGCAATACCAAGGAGAAAACTTTGGCTTAAGGGGGTTGGCATGGAAGTTAAGTCTCTGCTGTTTCCAGCTGTGTGCCTGAGGGCCGGTTCTTGTCTCTGACCTGCAAGTCCCCACTGCAGAAATGGAGCACTAGCACATTTTTGAGATAGCTCAGGGGTTAAACCAGAGAACCAGCTAAGAGTTCCTTCTACAGAGTCTCCTCTGCACGGGGTGGAGCCGCCCCTTTCTGGGAGTGGCTACTGGGTCTTGTGCTGGCCTCTGGCTCAGACAGTTACACCTCTCCTATACCCTGGGAAGTGACTGCCTTCTCTCCACCAGGCCCTGAGTAACCGAGGCCAGCATAGCATCTCGTACACACTGTCCCGGAGCCACTCAGTCATAGTGGAGTACACACATGACAGCGACACAGACATGTTCCAGGTATGTCCCATCTCCCAGCCTCTGCTCTGCAGGTGTTCAGGGTCAGGCCATGGGCCCAGAGACCCTGGGACAGGAGGTTCTGACCACTCATTGCAGTGGATTGTCCTTCGATGGGAAGCAGGATGTGCCAGGCTGGGCCGCTGACTTTGCAGTCTGTAGCAAGTCAGCAGCCCTCAGCGTCAGGACACTTAGAGGTGATATACAGCTTTGGAATTCAGAGGACAGGGTAATTCTCATCATGCCTAGGTTCATCTCTGTGCACTTACCATTGGGTGACTTTGGACAAGAGTCATTTAACATCTCTGAGTCTTATTTTCTCATCTGTAAAATGAGGCTCATAGTAGCTTCCCCCATGGGAAGAGTAACTGAGGTCTTGTATAAAATGCCTAGGTTTTTGCTCTTGCAGAGAACTCAGGTTCAGTTCCCAGCACCCACATCAGTTGGCTTCAGTGGCCTGTAATGCAGATTCAGGGAATCGATGCCCTCTGCCCCCATAGGCTCTTGCACACATGTGCAATGAAATCATTCAGGCACACATACAAATACAAAAATTAGTGGGTGTGGTAGCTTAGACTTTAATCCTAGCACTTGGGAGGTACAGATGAGTGAATTTGAGGCCAGCTTGATCTACATAGCAAGTTCCAGGTCAGTGAAGGCTGTATCGTGAGACCCTACTTGACAGCAACAACAATCTCTTTTTTTGTTGTTTGTTTGTTTTTGTTTGTTTGGGTTTTGTTTTTGTTTTTGTTTTTTGAGACAGGGTTTCCCTGTAGTTTTTTTGGAGCCTGTCCTGGAACTAGCTCTTGTATACCAGGCTGGCCTCGAACTCAGAGATCCACCTGCCTCTGCCTCCCGAGTGCTGGAATTAAAGGCGTGCACCACCATCACCACCCGGCAACAACAACAATCTTTAAAGATGCATTCTTACTAAAGTTTAATTTGCTGTTACTATTCCAGGGTGTCACCTTTTAATGGGTCTATCAGCAGATGAGCTGGTTCTTCCTAAGTGGGGTGTTTCTCAGAGCTATGGGGCCACAGAGCAGATGCTTCTTCATGCCTCAGCTCATCAGATGTAGAGACCCTTCATACAAGGACGTAGAGTAGTTTCTTACCTGTGAGTTGCAATCCCTTTGGGGTTTCAAATCAGATAATTACATTACCATTCATAATAGAAGAATAATTACAGTTATGAAGTAGCAACAAAATAATTTTATGGTTGGGGGTATGTATTTAAAGGGTCGCAGCATTAGGAAGGTTGAGAGCCACTGTCCTAGAGAGTTGTGGTGTGCTACTCTTTGGGTCTGACGTCGTCTTTGTTTGGTGGCTGCTGAGACACTGGGTGAGAGGCCTGTGAGACCCACCTGTACATGTGTGCTTGTCCTCCTTTCCTTGTAGATTGGCCGCTCTACCGAAAACATGATTGACTTCGTGGTAACAGACACATCTCCTGGTGGAGGAGCCACAGAGGGCCCTTCCGCCCAAAGTACCATCTCCCGCTATGCCTGCCGCATCCTCTGTGACCGCCGGCCACCCTATACTGCCCGCATCTATGCTGCTGGCTTCGATGCCTCTAGCAACATTTTTCTTGGAGTGAGTGAGCCCCCAGCAGGGCTTACCCTTCCACAGAGTAAGCTGATGGGGGGAGGCTAGAGGGCCGCTGCAGCCTAGGGTGAGGGGCCGCTGCAGCCTAGGGTGAGGGGCCGCTGCACAGCCATTCTCTGCGTCACTCTCCTATGGCTTAGCAGCCCACTTCTCGAAAAAGCAAAGAGGGGTACAAAGAGGTCAGGTAGTACCCAGGACCTCTCTGGGAAACTCTAGGCCTCGAAGGTGGGGGGACAACACCTCTGGCATGCAGCTTTTTGGGAGCGTCTGGAGTTGTGAGCTTATCCTCTTGTGGTCCTAGGAGCGGGCAGCCAAATGGAGGACTCCTGATGGTCTGATGGATGGCCTGACAACCAACGGGGTCCTGGTGATGCACCCAGCAGGTGGATTCTCCGAGGACTCTGCCCCAGGTGTCTGGAGGGAGATTTCTGTCTGCGGGAATGTGTACACATTGCGGGATAGCCGCTCAGCCCAGCAGCGGGGGAAGCTGGTAGGTGGCCTCCTCCATTTCTTCCCCACCCTTCCCAGGCCCTCATAATCAGTTCATTGCCTTTCCAGGCTGGGAGATGATTGATGGTACTTCTCTCCAAGAGAGTCTGCTAGGCTTTCTTTGGTGAGCCCCAGGCTCAGTGTGTTCTTGACGCTTGTCACCTACCCATAGACAGGGCCAGAGCAAGGCCCCTAGGCATAGTTTCATACTGCTGGGGATCCAGCAGGTGATATGAACTAGAACTACACAAATGCAGTGTGTAGAGCCAAATGGCTTTGAGGCTGGGAAAATCATATCCTCTTCCAAGGGTGACACTTGGTCTGCGTATGCACAGTTTATAGCCCAGAGTGTTGGCAGCTTATACTGTGTCTGTCACATTCAGGGAGGTTTAGTGCTATTATTCTTTCCCAGCCACAAATGGTCTTTGGAATAGTTCTTAGAGTGCTGGTCCAGAAGTACCCCTCTAGTGCTATTGGGAGCTGGGAGTAAGGGATAGGAACTACAGGGCCATATAGCTATATTCCTTGACTGGACCACACAGAATTCTCCCCAGGTGTGAGTTCTAGGCCAGCCTGGGCACATAGTAAGAGCCTGTCTCAAAATCAAACCAGGGCCAGGCGATGGTAGCGCACGCCTTTAATCCCAGCACTCGGGAGGCAGAGGCAGGCGGATCTCTGTGAGTTCGAGACCAGCCTGGTCTACAGAGCTAGTGCCAGGACAGGTTCCAAAACCACAGAGAAACCCTGTCTCGAAAAACCAAAAAAAAAAAAAAAAAAAAAAAAAAAAATCAAACCAGGGACTGGAGAGATGGCCCAGCGGTAAAAGCACTGGCTGTTCTTTCATAAGACCCAGGTTTGATTCCTAGCATCCACACGGCTGCTCACGGCCATCCGTAACTCCATCACCCTCTTCTGGCATACATATGGTGCATAGTATACATGCAGACAAAACACTCATAAAATTAAACAAAACGAAAAGCAAACCACACACGTGAATGTGACGTGGACGTATACTTGTTATGTGCCCACTGTATACCAGACATCGTTCCATGTTTTTTGTCTGGGTGGCTTATTTAGTATTCACAAGGCCCACTTGAGAAATGGAATCCACTTTGAGGCCCAGGAGACCAAAACACAGAAATTAAGTTATTCTCTTAGCTGAGTAAGTGAATGGCAAGTCCAGGATTTGAACCCAGGCTCCTTCTAGAGTTCTTGCTGTGATCCATGACCCTTAGGACAGCTGCTTTGGGCTGGTAGTCAGTGTTCACCATGGGATATATTTGCTCTCTCTGCTACATCCTACTTCGGCCATTATGGGAGAGCTTTGGAAAACTTTGAAGAAAAACCTTGCTTTGGGTCAGACTTTTGGATTTGACCTGCGAAGATACCAGAGCCCAGGTCCTACTGAGAACAGGGGCTGTATGTACTTAGCGGCATCTGTCTTCCCTGTGTCAGCTGCCCTGCTGACCTAGGGTGTTCTCTCCAGGGAATGTCACTGGCCAGATAGGTGGCTTCTCTGGGGTGAGGCTGCCTGACGGCAGGGCCAGAGAGCTCTTGGGCTAAGGCCTTCTGCTGCCTCCGGCAGGTGGAAAACGAATCCAACGTCCTGCAAGATGGTTCGCTCATCGACCTCTGTGGGGCCACACTGCTGTGGCGCACTCCAGCAGGGTTGCTGAGGGCACCCACACTGAAACAACTGGAGGCCCAGCGACAGGAGGCCAACGCAGCACGGCCCCAGTGTCCTGTGGGCCTCAGCACCTTGGCCTTCCCCAGTCCAGCCCGTGGCCGCACAGCACCTGACAAGCAACAGCCCTGGGTCTACGTCCGCTGTGGTCATGTCCATGGCTACCATGGTTGGGGCTGCCGGAGGGAGCGAGGCCCTCAAGAGCGCGAGTGTCCTCTTTGCCGCCTTGTGGGACCCTATGTGCCCCTGTGGCTCGGCCAGGAGGCTGGTCTCTGCCTGGACCCTGGGCCACCCAGCCACGCTTTTGCACCCTGTGGCCATGTCTGTTCTGAGAAGACTGCCCGTTACTGGGCTCAGACGCCACTGCCGCATGGCACCCATGCTTTCCATGCGGCCTGCCCCTTTTGTGGGGCTTGGCTCACTGGTGAGCATGGTTGTGTCCGCCTAATTTTCCAGGGGCCACTGGACTAGGCTCTCCAGGGTCCTTGCTGCCATGCCTGCCTACCCACCCAGGTCCCCCCTCTCCTGCCGTTCAGAGGGAGCTCTGCATGTGGGACTGTGCCTGCTGGCAATAGCCACACCAGTTGGACACATTGGATGGGTTGTGACCCTCCCCTTAACTCTAGCCTCTAAGAGGATCCCTGAGATCTCTATCCCAGTCGTACTGATGGGGACTTTAGCACCAGCTCTGCCCCAGGCTGATGGAGGGCGCCCCATGCCCCTACCCTTCCTGGGGTATGCTACATCATGCTGCCTACACTGTGTCCCTGGGGGAGTGAAGGGGCCATGGCCCCTGACTTCCAGCTTAGTCCGGTTGTGCCCTGAACCTGCCAATCCAGTACCAGCTACTCCTTCCTCCTGCTGCTGCCCTGGGTTGCTCTATAAATTTGCTCAGCTGCCCTCACAGATCCACGTGTCCCACATGCATGCAGTATCTCCAGTCCTCTGAGTACTGAATGGGCCGGCAGTCTGAAGTCAGCATTTGCAGGCAGGGATAGCACCAAGTGGAGGTCACATGGGCAGTCAGGTTCTCCACCGGGTGGAGTTCACAGCCTAGTGACAAGTAGACTGCCTTGTTGGTGTTAGGACCAGCGAGTTCCAGGTTCTAGGGCTAGAGAACAGCACTTGATGGATTTGGGAAAGTAAAAGGCTTCATTGAGGTGGCGACACAGGAACTCGGCCTCCATGCTGGCTTGGACTTTTCCAGGCCCACAAGGTAAGGGCTCTGTACCCTCTCTGCACAGGCTCAGGGTAAGGAAGCAGGGATGGGGAAACAGATTAAGGGATGCTGGAGCGTAGGGTGTGGTCATGCTTGGTGGAGAATTCAGATCCTCATTTGTGAAAAATCAGGAGTCAGCTCCACGGCACTGGCTCTGACCCAAGGGCTAAACACTGAACAGTCACTGTGTGCCCCATCCCATCCTTACAGTCACTTAAGCAGTGTTCACGGAACCCTCGCTAGGTACCAGGACTCTGCCTCTCGAAGATTTGGTCATTTAATCCCCACGGTGATCCAGGAAGGGAGATGTCCCCACTTAGGTTGGTAGAAAGATAAAGTTACAATCTAGTTGCAAGGGATTATGGGAAGCCACACCTACCCATCAGACCATACTAAGGCTGGGCAGGACGGAGGCAAGGCAGTTTAGAGTCTGTTTAATGGAAAAGCTGAATAGGTAGATGGATATATATCCACCTGCTCAGTGTCCAGCCCCATGTGGGCCCCAGCAATGAGCAAGGGCTCCCACAAAGAGGAGGCTCTGTGGGACTGATGCCAGAAGCTGATCACCACATCCTGCTGGCCACCTGTACAAGAAGGCGTTGCCCGGAGAACTCTAGAGGGTCTGAAACCAGAGCCACATCTTGATTGGCAGACACTGCAGAGGCAGGATGGAGTTTGGAGGGCAGCCTGGGTGAGGACAGCAGCATAGAAGAGCAGGGAAAGTGCCTAACAACCAGCATCCGTAGAGAAAGAGTGATGGGACCAGGGCTGTAGGCTGGGACCTGGTGGATCCTGGTGACTGTGGAAGTCAAGTCAGCGCCAACCCCTCCCTACTCCTCCTGTTGGTGAGTCAGGTCTTCCTGTGAACCAGGGGCCGAGCTGGGGTTTCCCCCTGATCATTTAAAGGAAAGTGAACCAGGAAAATAGGTAGGTAGACTATAGAGAAATAAAAGGGGGTGGCTCTGAGTGTAGGTGTGACCTTGTTCTCAGTGCAAGATAGATGCCACAGCTTCAGGGAGGTGCAGATTCCACAAGAACCTGCACAGCTGGTTGAGGCCAGAAAGACCAGGCTTGGGCTATTGAGAGGACAAAAGGCAGCCTTCCCGCAGACGAGTGTCCCAGCTACCGTGGGATGCATGGCAGAAGGGGATGCCACAGTGTATGAGGAACATTTCAGCCCTACCCCCAAAACTCTACCCAGTTCTTGCTAATGCTCCTTTTGGGGACCGGGCAGGGGAGCATATTCTGATCTCACTTCCGGTTTTTAATCTCAGACTCTGGGAGGAAGGACGAATGAAAGGGCTTGGGGAAGAACTCAGGCTGGTGGTGGGAGCCAGCCCTTGAGCTTCAGATTCCACAACTGTCAAATGGAACGACATTCTCTAAGGCCAGGCATGGTGGCCTCTGCTTGCAATCCCAGCATTTGGTAGGGTAAGGAAGGAGGGACATTGTGTGTTTATTGCTAGCCTGAGCTACATGGCAAGATCCTGCCTCAAACAAACAAAAACAAAGAGTACTTTGTTCACCAGGGGGATGTAAACATACAGAGAAGCCATGACCCATTAATAGAATGTGCTACAATGAGAGAGAGAGAGAGAGAGAGAGAGAGAATATGAATATGTTGGGTAGGAGGAGGGAACGGTGTAGTGGGAGGTCTTAGGAAATCTAAGTTTTCCCACCTGTGCAATTGATACAACATTGATATGCTATCTCAGGGGTTTTGCAAGAATTAAATGTGATTCTATATGGCAAGCTGCTGGTAAAGGACTTCATTCAATAAGTACTCCTATCAGTTGAGATTATAAAATGGCACCATGCAGCTTGGTTGGGGGTCTTGGGTACTGGGATCCTTCACTTGCCTGAGCTACCCCTTGGTTGCTATGGACAGCTCTATCTCTCCTACCTGGTTATGGTTACACCAACTTCATCTGAGTCAGTCCACTTTATCCCTATTCTAAAACCTAAAACAATACCTAACAACAATGAAAAAAAGGCAAAAGGAGAGAAGGGGAGTTTCCTCAGGACATAAACATAATGTGCACCAATCAGAGGCAACAGCTCCTAGTGTTGTGGTGACAAGCCCCTCTTGGGCACCTTTGTGAAGGAGAAGTCGGTGCCTGTACTGGACGTCAGTTACATTGGGCTCTATACATAGGCGTGGCAAGGAGAGTGGGTTGGATTTCACTCCCAAGACACTACCTTCTACACAACCCAGGGGGCAGCACTATTCCTTGACGGTCTCCCCTCCCTCGGAGCAGGTTCACTTATTAGTCCTGAAGTAAAACTGACAGAGCTCAAATGACACACCTAAAGTCACTTTCTGAAAGGTGACAGAAGTCTGATTTGACCTCAGGCAATGTGTGTCAGCTCCCAGTCTAACCCAAGCTTTTTACAACATTTTCTTCGTCAGTCAGCAGGAACTTGCACACACTACTAGAAGTCACTCAGACATCACCCTGACTAGTAAAAGCGAACAGCATGCTTGCCTGCACCCTGGGCTGCCCCTGAGTGGCCGGAGGCTGCTTTCCTATTCTGGCCGGTGAACAGCTGCACCAAGAAAATGCCAGCTACTTGCTGGCCTTGTTTTCGCGCTAGTGAAGCGCCTGTTCCATTTTTCTGCACTCCTGGGTGGGTGGAACTACTTCTGATCTGCGGGAGCTTCCTCGCGTGTAGCCACCACTCTTTGCAACAGTTTTGCAGTCTTCCCCAAACCCAAAATCCCGAGAGGAGGGGGATCCACATTGCTATGCTCTTCTCTAAATTCCTGTTGCTAACCGCCAAACCCAGGTAGGAGGGACACTGGAGGTGAAACCCCAAAGAGAGCACGGTCCCAGCTACTTGAGGGTGGAGGCTACCGATGTATAGGAGCCCTGTGTTTGGGGACCTTGTCAGTTCCCTCGGTCTGCACCAGGCAGCAGCCACGTGGGTTACCGAGACACCAAACCACTTCCCCCATTCGCCACTCCTCTGTGCGAGCGTGGCCAAGGGGGACAAAAGGCCAAGGCCTCAGGGCCCTTCTAAGCAAGCACCACCCATAGCGGCCGGGGGGGCGGGGAGTAGGTGAGGGAGGTGCTGTCCTCGGCTCGTGTACTGGCTGGAGTCGCCGCCCATCTGATCCTAGGGGCCAGACAATTGGTCGGTGGGGGCGGGGCTTGTAAAAATCCCATGAATGGGGGGGCCGGAAGCAGGAAGTGAGTTTGCGAACGGAGCTGCTGCAGCAGGTGAGGTGCGGCGCCCTGGTTTTGGGGTCACGGTGTATCATCTTCAGGGGATCAAAGCGTGGCCGGGCTGTGCGTACAAGATCATCCTCGTTATGCCCATCCTTCAGTGCCTCTTCCAAATCTACCCCTGGTTTCGGGCCAAGAAGGGGTTCCGGGCAGTAAAGAGTTAACACCCCTTTCCGAGCCCCGTCTACTGGGTAGTTGGGGCGAGGCTGCGCGAATGGGGAACGGGGAGGGTGGAAACGCGTGCTTAGTCGGGGGCGGGGCATGGAGCTTGTGGTGTGTTGGGAATTCCTTGGGTCCCATCTGGGCTGCAAAGCTTTGGATAAGTTGCTTGTTTTCCAAGTGTCAGTGTCTATCTGGAATATGGGTTGTGACGTTGTACAGCTTCCCAGGCGTAGCAACAGAAGAAAGCAGGATAATGAAGGGCTGAAGAAAAGCGAGGAGCTTTGGGGCAGATTCTGGGAAGGAAAAGCATGCAAGAAACATTACTACTCTTTGATTTACTTGTTTTTGATAGGGTTTCATGTACCCCAGCCTGGCCTTGGATTCCAACCCAGGGCCTGGTTAGTGCTAGGCAAATGCTACCAGCTGAGTTACATTCCTGTCCTGGAGGTGGCCTCTTCTAATTTGCATACCCAGCTGTTGAGCTTGGTGACATCTTCGTAATCAGTTTTACAGAGAGGAAAGAGAAGTGCAGGAAAGTGAAGTGGCTGGCTTGGATTTTAGATTTCTTTGCTGGAGCAGATTGAAACAGGGGTGGATAGGAAGTCAGACACCTGGCCTTTGTCAGCGGTGATGGGTTGGAGGTGTTGAGGAGTTCTGGACCAAGAGGCTAGGATGCCTGAGAGGGTGGAGGTTTTACCGGGAGTGGCCTGGCTGAGAGTCTAGCAATGAGGGTTTTTCTGCCGATTCCTCCTCTGTATCATTAGGAAAAAGTCTTGTTATCTTTGAGCCTCAGTTTCCCCATCTGTAATATGAGGTAGTTGGATTCAGACTTTAAGTCTGAGAGGCCACAGGCCCAAATGAGCCCACTAAATATTTGAGTCTTTGAATTTCAGTTTATCAGGTGAAAAGCCTCCTGGGCTTTTGGGTGGAAGAAGTTAATTCATGAGAGTTCAGATGTGAAGATGGTGTGTTCTCTGAGATGGTTGTGATGTGTCCTTGCAGGGCCCATGGCAGATACCCAGTACATCCTGCCCAATGACATCGGCGTGTCTAGCTTGGACTGCCGTGAGGCCTTCCGCCTGCTGTCACCCACAGAGCGCCTCTATGCCCATCACCTGTCCAGGGCTGCTTGGTACGGAGGCCTGGCTGTGCTGCTCCAAACCTCCCCTGAAGCCCCCTACATCTATGCCCTGCTTAGCCGCCTCTTCCGTGCTCAGGACCCTGACCAACTGCGCCAACATGCCCTGGCTGAGGGCCTTACTGAAGAAGAGTACCAGGTGAGTTCTGACAGGCAAGCCTGGTTTTCTGAGGGGCTTCGAGAAGGGTGTGAAGGACTGGAACCAAGGGGCACAGATATCTCTCTCCAGCTTGACAGAGGATTAGACTAATGGTTGCACACTCAAATGCACGCCTGCCTGGAGCCTCAGACTTGTCATCTGTAGAATATGCACATGGTCTGTACATGCTATGCACATGCTATGCACATGTATTGTGATGACCTACTTAGAACAGTGCCTGGTTCAAGAGGAAGCCAAGCCAGGCGTAGTAGCACACACCATTAATCCCAGCAG